CCGTTTAACTGTTCTAACTTGAAAAATAAACGAATTTCTAAAGGAATCAGGTTATTGTTTGTTTTTTGTTTTTTTAATCTCTATCTATAAAAGGCAGGATGTGTGTGTGTGTGTGTGTGTGTGTGTGTGTGTGTGTGTGTGTGTGTGTAACGAATGCACGGATGCAATTTTCGACGGATTTGCACCAAAATTTACATGCACATGCTCCAAGTTAGCGGGAAGGCCAACACCGACGTTGCATTTCCCAACTCCCATCGATAGTGGAAATAATCGATTTTTTCATGCTTCTACGGCACTTGTCATGTAGTTTGCGTCCATTTTCTACTGGCCAGAGTGAGAGCCAATAACTGGCTGCCACGAATAGGCAGGAAGATTCTATTGGCCAGCGTGAGAGCTGACTGACACGAATGTTAACTAGCATGCTAGCATGCAAAAAAAAAATCGATAGCTGCATTGATCACAAGTGGGAAAAATTTAAATCTGCATGGCAGTTTACTCCAATTGGCTCATTCGCTTGCTTAAACTCAACGTTGATTCTGATTCTGCAGAACTGGGTTGGGCGTGAAAAAGTATTTGTTGTTAACATTCTTTTTTCATTCGGTTTTTTCAGTTACGAGTCCTTTTTTAAAGCTGATCGTTTTGTGTTCATTTTGTTTAGTTCTTTTTTCGTAACAGATTTAATATTTAGTATAGAGCTTAGAAAAAAATTGCAGTGTGAGATAGGCTAGAAGTAAGGCATGTAGCAACATCAGCACGGCAAAGGGCACTCCTTTAAAGGCAAGGAAGGGCAAAAATATTTTAAGTTAAGTGATAGCGATTGCTGTATGAGTCGTGCGATTTTTTAATCAAGCACGGGCAACGCCGGGCCATGCTGCTAGTTAATTATAAATCAACCAAAAATTATGTGCAAGAGAAATAATTCTAAATTTACTAACTGCAGAGTATTTCCTTCGACCTCAATGAGCTCCTTTTTGTCGGCCAGTGATGATACATTAATAATTATCTATACATATATAAAGGACAGTTGTGTGTGTGTGTCCGGCTAAAATTAAAAAAGTACAATAATCACGACAAAGTAAATATATATCCAGACATATTATCACCCAAACCAGCTTTTTATTAAAAAAAAAAATCATCGTATGTTTTGTATTTACGAAGATATTTTAAAATTAAAATGCATTAGAATGGATTCAAAATTCTTAGAATTAAAAAGTAAAAACGAACAGTAACAATTCTTGTTCCCGATTATTATTACCGTTCGTTTTTACTTTTTAATTCTGCTGATACTTTCAAAACGCTATAAATGTATGTATTTTTAAAATTTCTATTCTCTTGAATTTATTTTCACATGTATATTAAATAAAAGCGTAACTTAAAAAGTGAATATTAAAACAACAAAGCAAATTTAAATGAAGAAGAATATTAAATACAATTATTTGACAAAAAGTTTAATATTTATTTATTGAAATATTTGAGTGTGTGTGTCCGGCTAAAAGTAAGAAATTATAATAATTAACATATGTGTGTGTGTATGTGCGTGTATTATTGACTTATTAATATTTTTCGAACATCTTATGGAAAATAATATTTTTATTCAATCTTTAAAAAATAAACATCATTGTTTTTTTTATTATTTAAGAGGCAGAACGACTAATCTCATAGTTAGGAACCCTGTTTTCTTCTTTCTTTATTTCTTTCTTTCTTTATTTCGCCCTTCATTCTGACAACTTGCTTCGCATATACTTGCAGGCGAATAGTGACGGTGAATGTACAGAAAATCTCTCATCTACGGACTTCGGATGCCATGGACAAAATCTGCAGGCAAAATTTTTTAAAAATCTGCAGAAAAAAAAACCAAAAAAACTTCCAAATCGTCAACGATGTACTTCAAAATTTGCGGGCTTAGAGGAACGAACTCGTATTAGTTCTCAAAGTGACCGCTTGGCGGCGGTGACAGGCCTTTCAATTGTAAACAAAGACAGAAAGTAAGATACATTAGCGCGTACGTGTAAAAGTATCTGGGAGAAAGAAAAAATTAAAACAATTTAAACAAATTTGCAAATTTGAAAACTTAGAATGCGGCTTTTAGTGTAAATACTCATGAAAGCACGTAAAGAAAATTTTGAATCATAAAATTTATGCATTTGTAAAATTCAACAATATTCACCAAGGGTCTAATATATAATTTAAAACTATTCATTATTCAGCCATATTTACAATCATCAGAATGCAATTTCTGTAAAATTTAATCTTCTTGCTGCTATTCTTATTCGCTTTAATCTTATTAATGCAAAAAATTTAATAATTTGTTTCACGTTGAACCATATATTCAGTGTTATGTAAATCCTCTATATTTCTTTTAGACAATAGAAATGTAGACAAGTTTCAAAGATCTAAGTGCATTTTGACTCTGTAGCGGACTTTACATTAATTTAACTTTAAATTAGGAAACAGGACTGACGCAGAAAAGGATAAGCCAAAGACATTGTTACTCATAAAATATGTATTTAACAAGATGTACAATATCAAACAACGATGTGAAAGAAAGCATGCATTTAAGTAAGAAAAGGTTGAATAAAACAAGAGTTGCCTCTCTTTAACTGTAATTTTAGTATTTCAAAGTTCACTGGAAGAATGTTTATGAGAGTCTCTTATAATGACTGTTCTCAGAAGATTTTGCTGTGTAAGAAAAGATTATGTGAATATATACAAGGTATGTTCAGCATGTGAATGGTGTGTGTGAGTGAGAAGGTTGGCGCATGGCTTCAACTGTCGTGGATTCGTTTGGCAGCTGGATTCTCACTAATTAGCTAAGAAAAATTCTTGCTTAAATAAGTGACTATAGGCTCCAGATCACTAGGCGGGAAAAGTTATTCTTCACGTGCAGACGATGTGATTGTTTGTCATAGACCAATCAGGGAGCGAGCTTTGAGGAGAGTTAAGTCTCCTTAAAGCTCGCTCGCTGATTGAACGCTTCAGTGATCCGTTTCTCCCAAAAGTGCACAAAACTGACGACATGAAAATAGAGTGATTACAAAATTGTCGCATTGCTGCGATTTGTAAATTGTCTATAATAATGTTATAGTGGAACACACCTATTCTATAGTTAATAGACTCTCCCACCTATAATAACTAGGAGTAGTAGGAGTCGCTCAGAGAGTTGGTCAGTCAGTCGATGTTGGTCGACCAGCTCATCGGTTGAACCCGAAAGAGGCTAAGCCGAAGGGCGGATTCTCTTTAGGGGATAGGGGGTAAACCAACCCTGAACCCGTTTATACGGGTTCAATGGGCATATTTTTGGCCGAGCCCACGGGCTCGGAGATCTCACGTTAAACCGGCCTTGTGCCACATGATGCCCTCGTGGGGGGGGGGTGACTAAATATCGTTGGCCAGTCAGTCGATGCCGGACGATCGTTAGTCGGATACTAAAGTATCAGTGACCACAACTAGATTTCTCTCCGTCATTACCTATTATATCAAGTTCCTAACGTTTTGTACGTCGAACCTATTTTAAATACAAGCCTCCACTGTGAAACCACTCTACAACAAATAACGTAGTGGTGATTTATTGACCAATGAATGCTTGTCGTTGTAAGTGATTTGTATGTATGTGTGTATGTGTGTAATAGATCGTCACAACTCTTACATTGCTGCTCAAATATCTTGAAAATTCTTAAAATAATAGATATAGTAATTGAATATATATATATATATATATATATATATATATATATATATATATATATATATATATATATATATAGAGAAAAACAGTAAGATATATAATCAGGTGTTCTTATTAATAATTTTATTTTTTACAATTCAGTGGTCAGTGCAAATCTACAGAGCATAAATGAAATAAATTTACCAATTTTAAAATATGGTTCCATCGCTACACATTATAATTGAATTTGAAGGTTGTAGTTTCTGTTTTTTGAAACACGGTAATTCCTGTGTAAGCGACAGAACCATCTTCTTAAATTAATAAATTTATATATATATATATATATATATATATATATATATATATATATATATATATATATTGATTCTTATTTTGCAGTTCAAGAATATTGAAGACTCTTAAAATAAATAAAGCAATTGAATACACACGCACACACACACACATACACACACACACATATATATACACACATACATACACATATGTAGACAATAGAGCCTTAAAATGGTCTGTTTTTTTTTATATATATATATATATATATATATATATATATATATATATATATATATTATATACTGATTCTTATTTTGCTGTTCAAAAATCCTGAAGATTCTTAAAATAATACATATAGCAATTGAAATATATATATATATATATATATATATATATATGTATGTATGTATGTATATAGCACTTGAATACACACACACATGCACACACATACACACACACATATATATATGTATATATATACGCATACACACACGCGCTCGCACACGAACACACATATATATATATATAATATCATATATTGATTCTTATTTTGCTGCTCAAAAATCCTAAAGATTCTTAAAATAATCGATATAGCAATTTAATATATATATAGAGAGCAATTGAATACACACACACACATATATATATATACACACACACACACACACAAACAAACATATATATATATATATAATATATATTGATTCTTATTTTGCTGCTCAAAAATCCTGAAGATTCTTAAAATAATAGGTATAGCAATTGAATATGTATATATGTGTGTGTGTGTGTGTGTGTGTGTGTGTGTGTGTGTGTAATATTATATATTGATCCTTATTTTGTTGCTCAAATTTTTTTTTATTACAAGTTATTTAAAATTTGCAAATATTTCTGAGCATCAATCCAACATGCAATTTTATAAAGTAGAAATTTTATAAAGGGAGAAAATTCTGCTAAGTAATAAAGGGAAATAACTCTTCGTTTTAAGGGAGGTTACTCTGTTTAATTATGACTGTTTACAAATAACTTTCACCGGCTAAAAAGAATGTCTGCTGTTCAGACTGTTCCCAAAAGAATTCTCGTGTATCTTAAACATGCTAGCCGTGATAAAAATCCAGTACTGGCTAAGTTCACACAGGTACAGCTTTTTATGTTTTATTCAAATTTGTGTAATCTAAAACAATTTACGAGCTGACGTTAATGTTCGGTAATGCTAAAGTACCTATTGAAAAAAAAAAACATTTTTAACAGTAAAAAATTTGAAATCCAATGTTTTTCAGCCAGGATGTGGTAGAAAGAATATTGTGTGATTTTTAAATTTAATCAATAAAATAAATAAAAGAAGAGGCAAAGTTCGTATTCCAAAACGTGAAAAGATAGAGGGAAATCTCATTTAGTACCTCGGTTCGTTTTTTTTGTTCGGGAAATTTTCAGTAGTTACCTTCACTAAGGTTTACAAATAGATTTAATTTTTAAAACTGAAAAAGCATTCTTGAAGATTTCATTTTAATTTTAATTGAAAGCTAAATGATTAAAATTATTATATTTCCAGTAAGTAAAATATTCTGATGTATTTCAAATAGAAACTATAGGAATCTCAACTTTCTGGCCCATTTCAGAAAATTTACCTAAATTTTAAGAAATTTGTAATGTAAACAAAACAAAATTATCGGTTTTTTAAAAACCAAAAATATATTTGTGTCATGTTATTTAGTAAAATTAGCAAATTTAAAGTTAAATTAATCTGATTTGAAATAAACATTACTTATTTATAGCATAAAAAAGTAATATACAAGCGTTTCTTAACGACGGGTGTGTTTTTCTTTTATCTTTATTGACGTATCGATAAGTTCCGAGGTGATGACAGCTAGTATGGATGACCAGAATTGGCATAAATTTACGAAATCGTGAATGCGAACGCATTTTTTTTTTTAACTACCTAGTAAATTTTACAAATAAACATAATTTCAGCAATTATATAATATTTTTTAAATACTTTTATTTACCTTTCGAAGATGCCTTATGAAAAAATGATAAAATTCAAAATACTATAAAATAATTTTAAAATTTAATAACAGATGAAATACTGTTAATAAAATTGTGTCCAAAAATGAAAAGGAAGGACGCCAACTAAAATGGCATCTTTTTATTTTTTTTTTTTTATTTTTATTTTTTTACTAATGTTATTTTAGGAAAATGTTTTGGACTTCGAAAGCACTTATTCCATTCACTTTCACCTTTTTACCAGCAAAATGTAGAATTTGTTTTCCTATGTCAACAAAACATGCCATTAATTTTAGATTGGAGTATTATAGTCTTTCATCATAGATAGGTAGAGTTCCAAATTAAGAGAAAGTTTGATAACAATGGTGGGTCTTTTCTGTTAATAAATGTTACTTCATTCTAAAATAAAAAGAATTTTTTACTAAAATTCCCACCAAATTCTCCAGCCTTCCATTACACTCTGCTTGGGATGGCCTTTGCCATCGCCCCAAATGTGGGTGACTCAGGTGTGCTATTTCTAAATGTGAGGCCTACGTCATACTCACTCCAATAAACAAGCCAAAAACAGATTTTTTAAATTTTTTTTTTAAAATTCCTTGTAAGCACCTCGAATATCATCCACAGTTACAAAATGGGAATAGCTCCCTGATTTTTGTTAATTTTTCGTTCTGAGGGTTGGATTGAACATTTTTTGATTTAAAATTTTAAAACAGGCCAAAAATTCAATAAAAAAACGAACTTTGATTTCTTGAGGTTAATTAATATTTGCAATAATTAAATTTACATTATTTGGTGTGAATTATCAGAAAAGATCCCCAATGCCAGAAAGCATTTTTAAAATGACTTGCTAAATTTTTTTCCTCTCTCTCTCTCTCTTTGATCTTATTTAGTAGACATCGCATTGCTCAACCTTTGGACTAAGATGAAAGTCTAGTATCTGTCTACCTCCTCAGTAATCAATGTAGTAAGCTTGGTCCCAGAGATTCTAAAATTGTGACAGCACCTCCTTCATTGAACTAAAGTGGGAGGTTTAATGGCTCCCTGGGATAATATTGACTGGGTAATTTTTGCTTTGGACTTATATGTACACATATGGGCAGGCCATATTATATTTGCACTAAAAAGAAAAGGTAAGTTAAATAAAAATACCAGGGTAATAGTGGTCACAGGAACTGGGCTTGTTTCATCCTTGGTTCATGTATACATCTATGGACATTCCACATTAAAACAACCTCGTGATACCAAGTTGCATGATTTTACTTTTGAAAATTTGAAAAGTGTACATTCAGTGATTACTATTCTTATGTTACTATTGTAAAGCCCTTTGGAAAAATTAAAAATCTTTACTCTCTTTTTGTGCAGTCCTATCACCAGTCATCTTGATAATCACCAATAGTTAATTATATAGGTCAAGACTTATAAATCATTGTGTTTTTGTTTTTTTTTATTGGAGATATATCTGTTTTTTGTTTGATATGCATAAGCCTAGTGGACTAAAAATGAGTGGGAGCGAGAGCAAAAAATGATTTGAGGATGATTTCTGGATGATGTTTTAGTAATCTTGCATTTTTTTTTTTATCTGGAATATTACGAATTTATTTGGCTTTCTAAATTAGGCCCCAAATGTATAAATATTAAGAAGTCACCTGGTTCATACTTCTTCTCCATCTTTTAAACAGGAATAGATATTTATCCCATATCTCCTTTTTAGGATTTGGTTTTCAGTTCTTTCTCCTAATGTCTTCCTATTCACCCAGTAACCTCTTCTGTCTTAGTAGCACCTTGCTTAGAGCAAAATGATTAAAACAAAAAACATAAAGCTTTTTGGACTATGTATGACAGCATCCAAACCAACTTATAATGAAGTTCTTATTTGATGTAATAGAATAACCTGTCACCCCATAAGTGACTACACTATAGGTAGTAACTACCTATAAGTATCTGTAAGTCAATGGACTACAGAATCTAGCTGGGATCTGTTCCAGCTAGACGGTCGAACTTTCTGCCTCTGAGCAAAGAGGAACCTGGACGAGGCTCAGCCAAAGGGCAGAGTCTTGTTCAGGGAGGTTGACCAACCCAATCCCATTGTGCGGGTTCTACGGGTATTTTTTGGCCGAGCCTACACACTTGGAGAACCCACGTTAAACCCAACCTTGTGCCACATGCAACCCTCGTGTGGGGGTGGCTAAATATACTAGCTGTGATCTGTTGAGTACAACTCAGACTTACACGAGAACTATTGACCTTCCAATAGTAGCACTCACTACTGGATTAACTTTTGACGACCTTGTACATAACTGTTACTTTTATTCTTATTGTACTGGTTTTTACAATAAACCTTTACTTATTTTATCCATCTTGTTTTTCAAGTATATATTCCTATTAGCACAGAATATAACAATTATTGAATCTGAATAGTAGATAACATAAAGTTATAAAATAAAACATTGTCTTCTACATGGATGAATGATTCCATACAAACTCTTTGGATCTGGTCACTGGATCTAAACCAACGTCTTTATCCACTTGGCCATGTGTTCTTGAGGACGTCTGTGTATGAATTTTTGAGACTTATAAACCTAATGTCTCAGCAACCATTTTTACGAGTGCTCATATTCCAATTTTTTCTGTTATTTTTATTGCATTAGTGGATAAAGACATTGGTTAAATCCAGTGACTAGGCCCAAAGAATTGTGAGTTCAGTACCAGCCCACAGCAGTAATGAACAAAATACCTTGGAGAATTGAGTTAAAGGGAAATAACTAAGACACCCGGAAGAGGTATGGCACGTGGAACTAGAATAATCTACCTCGGTGGACAAAATAAAGGGTTCAGTTTGAAAATCCAATTAACTGAAGAAGGCTGAGGCATACGACGTCTGAAGCATTGTGAATAAGGCAATGAAGATGAGGATAGCAGTTCGAATGATGTAAATAATGCATGTAATCATAATACTTCATCTTGGAGATATAGACAAAAGTATCATCCCAGTATTATAGTAGTGGTTCTACAATTCATCTAATAATAAAATTGCTTTAATTCATTAAAATCATTTTTAATATTTTTATTTTCATACATTTATTATAATTTTTAATAAATAATAATAATAAATATTTTGCAGGTAAAGAGGTGAATGATAGACGCAAAGAATCTGAACATTCAAGAGATTAATATGTTTCTATAATTAATGTCATGTGTTTTTGTGTGCACATTTTGTTTTCTTTAGTATATACCTACTTTTGCACACCCTGTATAATCAAATATACCTGTTCTTTAAACATAATATCAAGTTTCTCTGGGGGTTTGAAAAAGTTCTCAGTGAGATCCATTATCCATAGGAAAGGAATCTTGATTAAGTCATGAACTTTTCAGCATCTCCTTCTGTACATATGTTATATTTCTGTATTTTTCACGTTTTGCATATAAATATATTTTTTATTGCATCGAAAATGTTGTAAGTAATTTTGTAGTTAAAAAACCTTAAAAACCTTTTTGTATCATAGAATGGCATACAGTACTTACTTGATTATCTGTGCCTCAATTTTCCAAACTTCAATTATTAAGATCCGTCCTGGGTATGACAATAAACTACATTTGCGTCCTGGGTAAGACGATAAATTACATCCAACAGCAAGGCCTCTGATCAGGAGGTTTTGAGGAGCGTACAACCACCTCTTAATTGCTGGTGTTCCCAGGTCCACCCTGACCCGGGTTAGTAGAACCTGATAGGATCTCAGCTATGGGCAAATAGTTAACACCCAAACTTATGTAAAAATAGATTTTTTGAAAAAATATTACCAACAATGAAAAGTTATCAGTATAAAATAACCCATTGAGGTTGATATGCTGTAAAACAAACCAGCAATACATTTTTGGAAAAAAAATATTACCAGCTATACATCTTTTGAAAAAATATTACCCATGATACATATTTGAAAGAAAAATATTACCAGAAATAGATTTTTAAGGAAAAAAATTTTACCAGCAATATTTTTAAAAAAAAAATATTACCAATAATAAAAATCTTGTCGGCATTAAATAACCCTGATATGCTGTAAAACAAACCAAACCAATCAATTATTAAGATGTGAAACAACAAGAAAAACTGAAATCATCCAAAATTCTTTCAAGGATCCAAACTAAAGCCATCTTAATATTTAATCACAGACAAGCATTTTGAGAATTTAGAGAACCAATCTCAACATTTGATTAAAATGCTGATAAAATCAGTTCAATTCTTGTTAACTTCCTCATACATTTAAATTTTCAAAGTAACCATGGGTTTTTTGATATTGTCAAAGTTCAACAGCCCCAATGCCCAATTTCAAACCCCGAAGAAATAATTATATTTGACAAATATTCAAGTTGCTTGTGCTTTCAACCAGAAGTTAGACTTATAAAGTCTACTTAAATCCAGCAAAAAAAAAGTTAACAGCAAAAAAACATGAGGCCAGCCAGAAACGGACAAAAATTGACTCATTTTTTTTTTATAAGAAATAAACTGGACAAGACATTGAAAAAAGTGTTTAAAAATGTTATTTGATTATATAAATCTTAAATTTCTTTAAAAAAAATGACATTTTTCTTCATTTTTTTTTAATAATTCAATTATCTGGCATCTTGAATTATCTAAACATATATTTTCAACATCTGACCCAAGGTGTCTGGATATTGTTATAACTTTCAGTCCTGACTATAATACCTCACCCCCCCCCAAATGTTAGAAAGAATCTCAGTACTCATTCTGTTCTTTTTTTTAAAATGTAATGACAATTTCAGTCACCCATAAGACAAATCAACTCACATTTCATTCAATTCTAAAGACTATTCAGATTTTGAACACCTGTTTTTTTTTTATTATTGAGGTGAGTTTTCATTAGCCTATTAATTACAGCAAGAGCAGCTCAACTATTGTCTTTCTAGATGTAAATTGTAACTTTAATTTCTGGAGCAGTTAGTGTGTTTTATTCTTTTAATAAAACATTCTAAAGTTTAGGTTTAGAAAAAAAAAAGGGTGCAATATATTTATTCAGAAAAATATATTTTTTTAAAAATTATTTCAGGATTTTAAATGGATGAAAAGATATTGTAATGTGCAAATTTTGCATGAAATTTCAAAAGAGCATGATTATTTACAAAATAAAAAATGCTAGAAAGGAATTAATAAAAGAAACAATTTTAAGGTTCAAAATTTTTCTTATCATTCATGTTGGGTGTGTAAACTTGTAAATTAAAATTTGTTTTAGTATTTAAACAAGAATTCCTTATTATTACAGCTTCACTATAAAAAAAACAACACTTGTCATTACTTTTTTTAAATAACTTAAACAAATTAAAAAAAAAATTCAATAAAAGCTTCACTTTCAAAAGTATTTAAAGACTTTTTTTTTGGTTTTGTGCAATAATCAAGACAAGTAAGAAGATAGGAAGATCAGTAAAAAGGGGCTGTTAACTAAGTAAGCTTCCACGCATGATTACTTGAGGCAAACGTATGTAAACAATGGTGTACGGACTCGACACAATGCCAAACTTTTATTGTTGGTAACTTCAAATTTCCATAGATTTCCATAAACTTTTACTGTCATTTTCGAAATAAGCATGTAAATTTACACTGAAATGGAAATTTTAATTACAATTTGTGTGCAGGGCTTAAACTGCAAATTTACCAAAAAAAAATTTTGTTTCTAGTGTGTGATGACTTTGTTTATGAAATACTTGGTGTATTTGTTTGTTATCTAATAAATCATAAGCTGTGACTTTGTTAGTAACCTAGTCTTCATTATCAGAATCTATTCATTAACTAGGATTGATTGATCATTTTTACGAGGATATTTTCAAAATGCTTCATCAATAATGACCCTCTCAGACTAAATATCTTCTGGACATTGATTATTTCGAAGGAAGAAGTGCCTATTTCATGCCTGACTGGAACTGAATTTGTATCAATCATATTATTATTGTTGTTGTTGTTGTAATAGTAGCAATAGTAGTAGTAATAATAATAATGTTAGTAATAATGATCTGTTTTTTAAAGCTGAGCCATAAATATGTACTGTCATGTTTCTTTTATATGTAGGCAATCATGGCTCTCTACAGCTTCCTTTACTCATTATCTGTGAATTGCCATGGCTTCTCAGGAAAATAATAAAGTGATTTTTGTTAGTTTTCTCCAGTTTTGAATCTAAAGCATACCTTCTCTTACATTAACTTCCACTTTTGATGCAAATAATGGTTATACTTGTGGAGTATTTGGTATATTTGTTTATTATTCAATAAATCATCAAGTGCGACTTCATTAGTAAACTTTTTTTCATTATCAGATGACAAATCTAAGCTTGATCAATCATATTCACAAAGATATTTGTAAAACTCTTCATCAATAATAACCCACTTAGCCACAAAGGAGAAAAATATTTCAGATTATTTTATCAGGTTAACCAAATTTGGATGTGCATATAGCATATATATATATATATATATATATATATATATATATATATATATATATATATATATATATATATATATATATATATATAAAATATATAAATATATATATATATATATATATAAATATTAAATATAAATATATATATATATATATATATATATATATATATATATATAATATATAAATATATATATATATATATATATATATATATATATATATATAAATATATATATATAATATAAAATATATAAATATATATATATATAATATATATATATAAATATATAATATATATATATATATATATATATATAAATATATAAATATAAATATATATATATATATATATAAATATAAATATATATATATATATATATAAATATATAAATATTAATATATATATATATATATATATATATATATATATATATATAAAATATTATAAATATAAAATATATATATATATATATATATATATATAAATATATATAATATATATATATATATATATATATATATATATATATATATTAAAAAGAAGATATATATATATATATATTTTTGCAAACGTTGTATATGTGGATTTTTAAAAAATATTATGCTTTATTTTCCATAATTTTACTACGTTTTTAGTTGGGTTTCTGGTCTTACACGGCGACTTAAGGACTGTCATCATGTAAAGGGTGGAGATTTCCATATTATTAAAAATAAATAATTTTTTTTTTCTCCTTTATGTTTTTCAATGTTAAATATTCTCGATATGAGACATTCTCTTTTTTTTTTTGTGTTAGTAATTCAAATTTCTTTCTTGAACTGGCAATGAAGAGTTCTGTGCGAAGGGTCATAAAGCAATTAAGATTGGTCCAAGAGAAATGATGAATTAGTTTAGCATATTGGCTATTAAAGTAGAAAGTCATATCAGTTTGTTGGCCAAGGTCATTGCATTCAGTTTCGCACAAAACCTCTTGTGGGGGGGGGGGATGTATGAATCCAACTTTTCTTTTCCCAGCAATGGATTAAAATCGATTTCTTCTTTCACCAGCTCTAAAGCCTTTTTTGGCAACCAGTGCAGATAAAGATTAACTGAATTAAAAAAAAAACATTTGGGTAAGGGGCTGGTAACTTCACCTCATGAGACCCTATTTTCTATGGAAGCCAACTCTACAGGGGTCAACCATCACAAAGGAAGGACTAAATAACACCTGGTTAAAGGAAGGCGTACCTCTTTGATACCCTGACTCACAGACCAAGCTGAATTCATGATCCTTGAAAATCCTGTAATCTACAATTTATGGGAAATTGTTTAATTACTCTTTTAAAAAGTAGAAAATATACATTAATTTCCGACAAGACTGCATGCAATTTCATGCATTTCAGAAAACTTTAGGATTTGAAAAATATTTATTAGTTTACAAATAATGCTACTTTATTACGTCTTCTTTTGAATCGACAAAAAATTTGGCACCTGTTTTATTTTTAGTAAGATCATATGTTCATTGTTCCACAATTATTATTATAAAAATATGATATTTTAATTGTTATAAATTTGATATTACCACATGCCCAGCCATAAACCTATATTTTATTTTATTCAGTGTCTTGTAGACTATTTTGACCAATCGGAGCTCACCACTTTGGTTCATGGTTACTTGCAGGACAATTGCTTTGTTTTGACTAATGAAATTAGTCCCCACACAATGCCACTTATTCTTAAGGTCAGTATATAAAACGATTTAAAACATTTTTTAAAGTTTGTTCTTTGGAATAGTCAATTATTCTCCAATAAATCAACACATTTTTACTTAATAAGATTAAAGCAAATGTACTTTTTTAATTTGTCATGCATATTTGAAAATAGAGTGAATCAGGAGCGTTTTTATTTTTGAGTTTATGGTGAACTTATTGAGAGTCTCGTTATGTTATTAAAGTTTTTTGAAATGCTTGACATATTTGACATCTTTTGATGGTCCTAAATCTTCTGTGAATTTTCAGATTCTCATTTGCCTTGCATCTTAATTGACAACTAATAGTTGTCCACTTCTGGACTTTATTTCAAGTGACAAGTCATCACACTTAAAAAAAAACAAAACTTAAACCTACTTTTGTTTAATATGGTTAACTATCTTTCTGTTTCCAAATTCTGTGAAGAGATTTAAGGTATAATTTTAAATAATGCTACAAAATTGTCAAAATCTCAAAATTACCCCCAATATCCAGAGTTATAACATCTGGAATAAGTGATACACCTGGATGGTATTAACAATGAGGTATACTATGTTACACTCTCGTCATTTCGATCGAACACTATTGAGAAAAAGGTAATTTCAAAACAGTAGCCGTTGCTGCTATTAATGCACCGCTCTTCATTAACGAATTGAGCACTGAGGCCGATGGCATTTGTATATAATACAATAGAATTTCCTTTTCTCTGCCATGCAGCAATAGCTGAGGGGTAGGATCTCCGACTGTTGACTGTTGCCAAATCAGTCAGGTTTTGAACCCCGGCTTGAAGCAATCGGATGTATAACCACACTGATGAACTATGATACAGCAAAACAGGCTTGTATGTTGATGACTATATATATAT